ACAGCAAATTGATTACAATGAACATCTATCAAATAAAGATATTGCTAGGCAAAAGAAAATTGATGATAAACAACGTGGAATTAGTGAACCTAATTTGTGTGTCGCAGCTTTCGATTTGGAAAAGGTTTTAACCACTCCACAAGGAGAGGTGAGCAACTTTTACTATAAAAGAAAATTTGCTACATATAACTTTACCATTTTTGACATTGCAAAAAAATTAGGATATTGTTTTATGTGGAACGAGGCTGAGGCCAAAAGGGGTGCTAATGAAATAACCACTTGTTTGTTTAAATTCATGACGATGATGAAAAAAGATGGAGTAACTGAATTTATTTTCTATTCCGATAATTGTGGAGGACAAAATCGGAACAGATTTTTATTTTCTATGTGGGAGTATGCTGCTTTCACATTAAAGGTTAAAATCACTCATCGATTCTTCGAAAGAGGACATACTCAGAACAAAGGGGATTCTATGCATGCGTGTATTGAGAATTCCAAAAAAAGGAAAAACTATTTATGTTCCTGTCCAATGGATAACCTTGGTGAGGTGTGCGAAAGTCACTGGCAAACCATACCTAGTAACCGAAGTATCAAATGAAGATTTTTTGAACTTCAAGCCAATCGTTGAAGATAAGTCATACACAATTGGACTAAAACTGTTGATGGTTGCCAAATTCGATGGAGTTGCATCAAAGAAATAATAGTCACCTCTGATAAACCATTTATTCTTAGTATAAAATATAACCTGACCTCACCAGATTTTATTATAATAGCTGATATAAAACAAAAAAAACAAAAGGGTAGATATCAGCTTCGTTGTTTACCTGTACAAGCGTATACTGAAAAAATTGCAATTGATAAAGCAAAGTATAATGACTTGTTATTGTTATGTGAAATGGGTCTTATTCCAACTACTTACCATGCATTTTACAAATCTCTAACTTCTAGGTAGTTATACCTTCTTATTTTATGATCCTATAATATTTTAAGTATTATTTTGAATGCAAATTGGGTTTATTTTATTTAGTTTTACTTCACAATATAATTTGTATCATTAAATTTTATTGAACTGTTAAGCTAGCTGAACCTTATTATAATTTGAGTATTCTAGAAGGATTTTTTGATTTTATTTTGTATTACTAATTTTTAATTTTATTAAATTTTGTAAAACTAATGAATATTATTATAATTTGAGTATTTGTTTGATTATAAAATAAGTTTATTTTATTTTGTTATACTTCTTGTAATTAATGTTACTTCATTAAATTGTTAAACTTAGTGGACATTATAAATTGGGTATTTTTTTCTTTAGAATCAAAAAAGGAATTGGTTGAAATTATTTTGTATTACTTATTTTTATTATGTAATTTTGTTAAATGTTGTAAAACTAATGAATATTATTATAATTTAAGTATTTGTTTGATTATAAAATAAGTTTATTTCATTTTGTTATACTTCTTGTAATTTATGTTATATTATTATTACATTATTAAACTTGATGAACATTACTTTAAATTGATTTATTTTTTCTTTAATCCTTCAAGGATCATTTGTGAAACTAGTGTATATAGATTGGGGACCTAACATACTTATTATTTTAAATTTTGAGATCCTTAATAGGTTTCGACATTATGCTGTTATAAAAAAGGGTCCCAAACCCCATATTCTGCCTATATTAATTAATTTAACATGACCGAATACATTAGATACGACATTCGATTTTCCCACAAAAAGGTCTTATGTTGAGATACGACCTTCGATTTTCC